TTGTTGCAAACAATGGGAATATCAGTGAAAATTAAGATTCATTGATTTTCTTCTAATAATCTTCAATTAAGATTACATGTGCAGGTTTGCATTGATGAATACCAGCTGACGGACCTTTGAAGAGCTGAGCCGGCTCCTTCTCTCTGAAACTATCTGCCCCGTTTTACTGAACACTCTCTGAGACGGGACAGAGGTGGCCACAATGCAGAGCCTCCTCTTCATGAATTCACAGAGTCTGGGATATACCACCCTTCTACTTTGCCACCAAGTGAGGGGGTTTGAGGACCTGGGCACTAGAGGCTCCTCTATAAATCCACGGACCTCTAGCACAGAATCTGCAGTTGGATTGCGACTGCTTGTCACAAGCCCAAACACCTGCTCATCAAACTCTTTCCAGACTGCACTCTCCTGTGTGGAGCTCCCCTCTTGTGCTTCTGCTCCCTCTTCTTCTCATCCTTCTGCAGCAAGAATGTCATCCTTGCTGCAGAATTGCAGAGGCGATGAAACACATTGTCAGCTGCCTCATCCTGCCGAAAGGCCTTCTTCTTGAACCTCGGGTCAAGTGCTGCTGCCTCAGAGAGCAAAACATGGGACTCTATTTTATGGAACCGGTGAGACATTTGGGAACAGATGTTGTCCACCAATTTCCTAACTGGTTCACTGAGGTTTCCAGCAGCTCGTTGGTGGCTTGATGCAATCTTTTGAAGACCTCTTGCCAAAAGGATGACTTTTGAAGCTGTCACATACCTGAGTGAAAGAGAAAGAAGGATTCGGCCTCTTAGTGATAATAATATGCATGTTGTTATTATTAATACCAGTATAACTATTAGTAGTAATCGTTGTAAAATGATCATATTCATAATCATTAGTTTGAAAAATAACAATGAAAAGCTCTAGCTAGGAAGTAAGATAAAGCCTTTGAAGCTCCTCTGAAGTCAAGTTCCCGTGGTGATGACCTAGAGTAGCTTGATTGACAGGTTTATGACTTTGTTTTGATGTGACTGTGCAAGTGAAAATTAGGCCTTCAAAATCACAGTATTATCACGACAATGCAATAATACTGAAAAACACGTACCCTTCACCGCTTATGTCAACTGTGACCTCCTCAAAGGGCTTCAGAACATTGCAGGCCTGTTGCATCTCCTCCCACTCTTCTGGAGATAGGGTGGCCAGTCTAGGATTTGTTAAGGCCAGTGTTGTGATGACAGCCTCTCTGTTCTGCAGTATTCTCTCCAGCATGTAATATGTTGAGTTCCAACGAGTTGGGCAATCCTGTTTCAGACGCAGTTCTGGTAACCCCAACTGGTTTTGTGTGGCCTTCAGTTTTTCAGAGGCAACTGTGCTCTTGTGCATGTATTCCACAATTGCCTTGACCTTATCTACTGTAGGTTTAATAGCAGCAATGCCACTATGTACAATGAGGTTCAGGGTGTGGGCAAAGCAGAATAGGTGGGGCCAACCTGTGTTCTGGATGGCCTTCACATCATTGGCAGCATTGTCAGAGACACAGGCAACAACTTTATGCACAATGTTCCACTCCCTTGCAACCCTCAAAAGTTGCTCTGCCAGATTGTCAGCTGTGTGCCTGTCGCTCATTTCAAAACAATCTAGCAGGACGGACACATTTTTAAAGTCAGAAATGAAATGACATGTCACAGACATGAAGGAAGTTGTTGTCCTGGATGTCCAGCAGTCTGTGGTGAGACACACTGCTTCAGCTTTATCCACTCTTTCTTGAACTTTTTCATGTGTCCTCCTGTACAGCTCTGGGATAATTGAATTTGACAGTGTTTTGCGTTCAGGTTCAGTTCCTTTGTGTATTGCCGAAACCCCTTATCTTCAACAATGGCTTCTTTGCCAGCACCTCATCCATTGCCCTTTGCCTCATGGGGTTGATAGGCCTCGACACAAAGTGAGTGAGGGTGGCTTGTGCACGCCTTGCTCTGGGCCTATCTGTTGCCCCTTGTGTGGATACAGCAGTGCGAGTACTGGCTGGAGCAGTGCTGGTGCTGCTGCTGTCTTCTACTGTAGGAGCACGCTGAGGCTCTTGTCTTACCTGTTCAAGCTGCACAGTTGGATGTTTTGACTTTAAATGTCTGTGGAGATTTGCTGTTGACCCACCTTTGGTGGAGAGCTTTGCTTTGCAAATCGTGCATGATGCGGCTGCTGGTGGAATAAATTCAAATAGTGTCCAGATATCGCTTCTCCTTCTTGACTCACTCATCTTGTTTATTCACTGTCTGTTTGTTCATGAGGATACATGGTCAGGGTGATCAGGGGAACATACCAAGTAACAGGGGAGGAGGGGAAGGGACCTTAGAGGGGGATGGTAGGGGGAAATTCAGTAGAGTGACCTTAAGTTTACAGTAAAAATGCATTTTTTAAGTGTGTATGTGTGTGGAGGGTCAAGTTAGGTCAACTGAGACATAGTTTTTTGCAGATTTTGACAACTGTCAATGTAAGTCTGTCTGTGTGTGTGTGTGCTTGTTCTGTGGGGTCACATCTCCCTAATAATGGTTGAGTCCAGGTGACAGATAGTTTCATAACAAAACAACAAAAACACTTTTTATATTGACAATATTTGTATACAATTTGCATGGCCATGCATTTACATCTACAGTTAAGACATTAAACAAAGCTGCCTAATATATAATCATAGTTTGTTTAAATAAAGCAGCCCTTGCCGACAAAGTAGCCTAAATTAGCCTATATTATTATTTTAAAAATCTGCTTATATAATTTAAAATATAACTGTTCTGGTACAGGATATATTCGTTGCCATGCATATTTTCTGCATGTAGCCTATATTAAATTAAATTAAATTAATTGTCATTCATGATAATGTTTGCAAACTGAAAGCTTCATAACAACAAGCACATACATTTTCGCGACACCCAGCTTCATTGTTATTAATTAATGATCGTACAAATCATTGACTGACTGGTGAAAGTGATTGTGTGTACTGATTCTGAACAGGAGCTCTGAGTCTCTCTCTCCCTCTCAGTACGTTCAGTGAACGAACTGAATGAGAGCTCCGTCTCCTCTCTCTCCCTCTCAGTCAGACAGTCAGTGAGTGATTTGTGTACTGAACGTACTAAACAGAACGGTCGGGGAAAATAAATGTGATTGTTTTAGCAGCTTTCAGTTTGCAAACTGTAGCTTTATCCAACTAAATTCTCAGCTCATTGGTTTATTATTCACCACCGGCTGTTCTCAGTACGATCGCGAGCAGAACTAAACGTTCGGCCGTGTTTCAGTTTATAAAATTCTTATTCACAGACAGAGCTGCAGAGAAGTACTGAACGATTCGGTGAACGAATCATTTGAACAAATCACTTTACTGAACTGATTCTACTGATTCAGTACACTGAAAATAACTGCTTTTCACATCACTAGTCAGAGCTGTAAAGACAGAGGAGGACCAAACTGATCAGTTTTTTCCAAATCAAGATGAGACTCAAATTCAGTTGGACCTTGCTCATCTCACCCCACAAATGCAGAGTGAGCTGCTAGCCATTGTTCCTCCAGAGTTGCTTAAAGACAAACCAGGTTACACCAACATAGTGGAACATAACATTATCCTGGAAGATCCTTCTCCTGTCCGCTGGAGTTAATGATGACACTGGGTGTAATTGAAAAATCTCACAGTGAGTGGAGCAGTCCTGTAGTGCTAGTACTTGAAAAAGATAGCACTATTAGATTTTGCATTGACTTTTGTAAACTTAATGCTCAGTCAAAGTTTGATGCCTATCCCACCCCAAGGCTGGATGACCTTATTGAGCGTGTTGGACAGGCCCAGTACATCAGCACACTCGATCTATGCTAGGGGTATTGGCAGGTGCCGCTGGCTCCAAAGGCCCGGCAGTACACTGCTTTCAGAACTCCCCAAGGCCTTTTCCAGTTTACGGTCATGCCCTTTGGTCTGCACGGGGCCCCAGCCACGTTTCAGCGGCTCATGGACAGAGTCTTGGAGGGGACAGAGTCCTTCTCAGCTGCTTACCTAGATGACATTGTCATTTTCAGTCTGACATGGGAGGATCACATGCAGCATCTGGGAGAAATTCTACAGAGGCTCAAGCAGGCCGGTCTGACAGTTCAGCCCAAAAAGTGTTCCCTAGCCCAACCAGAATTAAAGTACCTGGGCTATTTGCTGGGCCGTGGTGTGATACGGCCTCAACAGGACAAGGTGCAGGCAGTGAAGGATTGTCCACGTCCCAGTACCAAGAAGGAGCTGAGGTCTTTTCTTGGCCTGGCTGGGTGCTATCGACGCTTTGTTTCCCAATTTGCCACACGAGCAGCTCCTTTAACTGACCTTACCAGGAAGTCCAGCCCTAATCAGCTGCCGTGGGAAGAAAAGCATAAACTGGCTTTCCTTGACCTGAAGGGGGCACTCTGTGATGATCCAGTATTGCAGAGCCCAGACTTCAGCCAACCCTTCGTCGTGCAAACTGATGCCTCAGGGGTGGGCCTGGGGGCTGTCCTGCTTCAGGGTGAAGGGACTGCCCAGAAGCCGGTTGCTTATGCCAGCCGGAAATTGTGGCCAAGAGAGACAAGGTACTCGGCTATTGAGCTGGAGTGTCTGGCCATCAAGTGGGCATTAGAGACCTTTAAATACTATCTGCTAGGCAGAGACTTTATTCTGGAGACAGATCACAGAGGCCTGCAGTGGCTTCATAAAATGAAAGACTCAAACAACCGCATTTCAAGATGGGCTCTTGAGATGCAGCCTTACAGATTCAGGGTCCATTATCGACCTGGAAGGGACAATGTTGTGGCTGACTTCCTGTCTCGCCATCCTGATGGCGAGCTTTCAGGGGAGGGGGAAATGTGAAAAGGTTGTCCCATACCTTTCACCTGCCCCCACCTTCCCTACACTGGCCTGCAGAGTGATTAGGCTGAGTGAAATCACCTGAGCTTAATCAGACAAAGTGAGGCCAGTTGGGGTTTTCTTGTATAAAGCCAGAGTCTGGGGGGGGGGGAATGTTTTTTGTTAGTGGCAGCTTGCTGTGAGGCTGTGGTTTCGTTTGGTTTATGTAATCTTGGTTTATTAGGTTACCCGGGACTTTTGTTTGGTGCTATTTTTGGTTAATAAATCAATCACTTCATTTTGCATTGACTTCTGCCTCCTGACATATTTTTGCTCACCACCAGTGCCGAACAGCCACACTTAAATCCCAATTTTGAGGTGGACTTACAATCACTAATGTTACAGGGTGAAATGGGACTGAGCCTTGGTACGCTAGAGTGACGCTTGGGCCAAATCCACCGAGACCTCACCATGCACTATAGCTTCGACTATGCGCAGCAGGTATGTCTTATTATAGCTATAATGATTCAATGTACATGTAAATAAAAACATTTTAGACCCAACACGGCATAGCTTGAGACACTGATCACGGTTAATTACTGTAACAAAATAATTTTTACAATGAGAATTAGCAGGTTTTATAGAAGCTCACAGACAACTGTTAAAAACAAAGAGAGGCTTGAATGTGTAAATGACTGATGAACCTTGCGCTTCATGTGATCTGATTGTCATGCACGGCCGGAGAGCTCACACTGTAAGAGTGAAATCGGGATGGAGCATTGACAATTGTTAATAAAGCTTCATTTAAAAACGCTAACGGACAACAGTTGGTGAAAGAGAAGGAAGTGGAAGTTGTTGTAGGATAGAGGAAAGTTGATACAATTGTAGATATATAGATACAAGTTTCAGAAAAGTGCTGCACTGATGATCTGTACTGAAAAGTAAAAAAAAAAAAGTTTTTGAAATGGTTGCGTGCTTCTGCTGGTCGACTACAGTCCTCCCTCGTCTCTCATGATTATATTGTAGTCACACACAACTTCTGCCGGACCCTTTCATGACGTAATCATCAAGATTTAAAATTCTAAATATCAAACATATTTGAAATAAATCGGGGCGTCCCTGACGATCGCCAGGCAGATCAGGGACGTTAAGATTGGATCTTTGTACCACTCGCGCTGCAAGATAATCTGAGCAGATAATCGGGTCCGAGCAGCCTTGAGTCGGGAGCGACCCTGAGATTGTCGGGAAGGAAGAATCGGAGCTCAAATCGGCCCGATTATCCTGCAGTGTGAGCCAGGCTTAACAGCACTGTCTACTACATACATGTATAACTTCCTATATAGTGAGTAGGGAGTATAGGGAATGAGTGAGTGATTTCAATAACAGCCTATAGTGAAGATGATGAGCTGATTGGATCATCACACTTCCATTGATGCATAGGAACAAAAACAACTTCAGTATCATTCTCGTATTGGCAGCTATGTTGGCGGAGACACTTTTCCTCTCAAGAACAGGCAGCTCGTTTTGTTGATAAGAAAAACATGTCGCTTTAAAACACAGTTGACTTGTCAGAGGCTCTGGATAAAATGAAACCTTGTACTTCTAAAGTAAAAGAAGTATTTTTGTAGTCAGGGTGACGTCTCTGACCTGTGAAACTCGTATTTCAAAACTAAAAGAGGAAATCTTTGTCGAGGTCAGGGGTCAGATCCCTGCAATGGCTCCTTTTGATGGTTCCTCATCAGATGACTCACTCATCATTTCTTCCTCTGGCCTCCATGACATACCAGCAGGTTGGTCCATGGAAACAGGATGATTCATCATCACTGTGTGCAGGAGTGGGCAGTGGACCTGTCCGTGCTTCAGATATTCCTCTGAGTTTAGCCACCAACAAACTGTGATGTTTGTAATCTTATACGTTTATTGCCAGCTAGACATGGAACTCATGTTGGGTATGACCAGCATGAACACTGTGATCTGGTACCTAGTGACACATGAGGCTAAGAGGCGAGTCAACACGCAGCATCATTGGCATCATCAGAGTGCGTCAACCTGATAAGAGCTGCGTTTTCCCAGTTGCCATGGCGGTCAGCAGTGTGCAAGCTCTTGCCATAGTGCGGGGCGCCCAAAATCTTACTGTCTCTACCCCGCGTTTCACAACTTTGTGTTGTCATGCAAAGATAAGGAATAAGTGTGTGTATTATAAAGTGTGAAGCATTATCACACTGCAGGCAAACGTAACCAGATTCTGATTTATTTTTTATTTTTATGACATGAATGGAACCTGATCTTTTCAAATCAGGCTACTTTCATACATTGATCCAAATCAGCTACAGGTCATTAATGCAGCCTCAGTCTTAGCCATAGAGTGTAATTATTAATGGCACATAAACCGCAGTGACATCATCCATCTGTTACGCCAGGGGGCTCTGGAGGCTCATGGGTGGCAGTATCCATACTCAGCGCAATTTGAGTCAACCAGACAACAGGCTAACCTCCAATTTCCGCAGCGGTCCGACAGCGGCACACACTACGCTGTAGTTCCCTACCACTCTAGTCAATCGTTGTGTTCCCAGAGCGAGCACTGCGCTCCGTCTCCAGAGTGTGCCACCAGCGGCACTACCTGCCAGTGAATCAGGTCAGCTACAGTGCCTTACTATGTATTACGTTGTATGTATCGTTCATAAAATCTAAATGTTTTTTTTTGCACCAGGCTGTAGACATGTTAATTTCTGCTGTTAAAAAATGCTTGTTGAATGTGGTGTATATGTGACTTCTGGTGTTTCTGCAGCCAGCTTCAAGCAGACCCTCAACAAACTGCAGGATTTTGCGCCTCCGCATTGGCTTCATTATTTTATCACCACAGGTTGCCACACGGTCTGCACAGCGAGGTCAGAATGCATGAGACGTTGACGTCACTCACTGGCAGCGTGGGAGGGAGAGACCGATATTACATGACAAACTGTGTTCAACAGAGACACTCACCGTCATCAACAAGTCTGCAGTCAGCAGAGCAAACTGTGAATTATGACTAAGCTTAACACATAATCCAACATAAAAAACACAACTGCAGCGATGAATGAAGGGAGAACCGAGAGAAATATCTGACAGTTTATGCACAAATTAAAGCTTAACACATCACTCAGAGCAGAAAAGATCTGAATGTAACAACCCACGTTTCTCACCTTGAATAAATTATTTCATCATATGTGGCATGTTTGAATGTTTAAGGTGTCTTATTTGACGCAAAACGGAGCGGTATGGAGCTTGCAACAACTAATTTGACATCGTAACTGAAAGCAGTAAGTATACAAGTATACTTTTTTTAAGCTTTATTTTGGGGACTTTTTAGCTTTTATTTAGAGACAGGACAGTGGATAGTCAGAAATCAGAAGAGAGAGATAGTGGGGAATGACATGACAGATCGGATTTGAACTTGAGCTGCCCGCTTGGAGGACTACAGCCTCGGTACATAGGGCGCGCACACTAACCACTGGGCTACCGGCGCCCCAGCAGTAAGTATACTTAAAGTTATATATTCTACATACAGAAAGGAGAAGGCTTTAGTGATTTGTTGAGTCTCTGTTGGAGGATGATAACTGTAAAACATTAATATATTCCATGATCGAACATTTTAAATGAAAAATAATAATGGTACCACTATACATAATGTTTAGTCAGTCTCTCTCCCTCCTCCCCTCAATATCAGAGCTCGGCCATCAGGAGATCTGATTGCTGGTTAAAGGGATACTTCACCAGTTGAAACATGACTCTGTATTGACATTGGGTCATGTATGTAGAAATGTGAAATACATTTTGAAGTTGGTGCCTTCTTGAGGCCACTCCCACTAAGGTCCTCTACAGACATTTACTACAACAAATACGGCCGTTTCCTGAACTGATTCACCCTCTGCTAAGACTTGTGTAAATCAGTGTAGTGATACAACAGAAAACTCAAAGTACTTGGTCTTTTTCGATTCTCTGATTTTTTTGAAATTTTCAAAATCCAAAAAACATGACCATTTCTTTTTTTTAACAAACCTAAAATTAAAACAAACATTTTTTAAATTATTGCTTTGAAGCAACGTATATACATGGTAAGTACTGATGGTTTAACCTCAAAGGAAGAAGAGCTTGTCTTCCAGCAGGAATTGGCATCTTGGAAATTCCTGGCAGCAAACAGACTCTTTGTCTGTGTTCATAGGCAAACAGTGAGAGCACCGACACTACCAGTCCGCCCCAGCTCGAGCCGGACCCCGGCTCCTTGTCCTCACCGCCGCCGACAGTCAAGTCTCGTAGCAGCAGCCGCGGCACAAGACCTGACTGTCGGCAGCCGCCTTGTAAGTATATTGCGGTTTCGTAGAGATAGCAGCAAACATCCGATTCGAGCACTTCAAAATCCCCTTCATCCATATCAGTTTGAAGTTGAAACATACTTTTATCATAATGTCGGTTCTTCTCAATTTTCTCCATAGAGCCTGTTAGCATAGCTACCAAGCAATATGGCGGAAGTTGAGTTTCAATTCTGGGACTGAGGTCACATCCACTGATCTGTGATTAGTCTGTAGCTTCAGTGGGGTCCCCCCCCTCTTCCCCCCAATGGGCGGGTTGAAAACATGAGGAACTAGTAACATAGTTTCACCCCTCTAACCAAAGCAGCCTCTGATGACCCAAATTGACGATTTTCACGTCACCGGAAGCTCCTTTTCAGAAAAGAAATACAGATTTTTCCTGTCTCAGGGGAAAATGAGGGCTGGATGCACGACCATTTAAAAATACTACCAGGTTTCTAATGATACAAAGCTTAATGCAAATGGGTGAAATATCCCTTTAAGTTACCATGGTGATCTACTCCGGTTAGGGTGAACCTCCTTCATAGTGTACTGAAGGCTTGCGAGCGTGAATGCACCAAAGTCTTCTTGGGCACTGAAGACCCCTGATCGTTGGTCTTGAAGGCGTAGCCATCGATGCATTAACTATTATCATGTGATGAATTTTAATGGCGGACTGGAACCCCGACAGAGTGAGCAGGACCCTGACGTGAAGGGGTTCCTCTGCGATAAGAACCTGCTCACTGAATATTAACCTGTTTATTAAATGGCTACCAAAACAATAAATAAAACATTGAAATAAATCCATTTCATACATTGATTTAAAAATAATTTAAAACACAGGAAATGGGAAATTGTGCCTGTGATTCAACAGCTGACAGTGCTTCAAAGGAAACAACGTGCTGTTGTCATATCATTTTAATTTAACAGTTTCATACTCTGCTAACAAATAACATAAACTTCTTATCTGTTATAATTAGCATAAAGAAATCATAGCATTGTGAACAGGACTTCTGCAGGAATACTGATTTTGACATTTCATGTTTGAGAAAATATTTAAGGAATCTTAATTCTGCTGCTCAGAGAGAAGAACAGCTTTGATGTGATTTATACCATCTGTGATCGTTCATTTAAACAAAACTATTCAATGACAGGACGAGCCAGCAGTCAGAAGACTATAGAAAAGCTCTTAACAAGTCCAAGTCCTTTAACCATTCACCGTTTGATACAGCGGTACAGCCCCTCATCAGTCTCTTAACCCCCAATTTCCACATACAGTCAGTGCCATGCACTACATCAGAGTTCGCTGCCACTCTAGTCAATCATTGTTTTTCCACAGCGAGGTCCGTCTCGCCACTACGCTCTGCTCTGTTTCAAATACACTGCAGATTAGCGTCAAACTGGACAGAATAGAACGACCTGGACAGGAAGTCAGTCATGGAAATGCACAGAGCGTCTGGTCAATTTCAAAATAAAACTCAATATAAGGACTCACAATTGTAAGATTCATCTCTTTATCAACTTTACGTCAAAACATGCTGCTCATGGCTGAAACAGATCCAGTGGGACAGGTCGGGTGGCATCCGAAGGAGCAAAACCGGACCGCGGTGCGCACAGAGTATGTGGAGATTTGGGGGTGACAGTGTTGACCCGTGGATTAGTCATTTGCATTTCCTTCATCCTCGGGTTACTTCATTTGTGTCTGTCATTCAAATCTAAAAGGTTTGCTTGCTTCTCTTGCTTAAAGAAGACTCCAGAAAGACTCACCAGTGAGGGAAACTCAGAAACACATTAGTAGAATGAAAGGAACACATGGACCAAGAGAAGTGAGATGTACCTTTAATAAGCGAGGAATCATAAATCAAGTAGCCTTTAGTAAATGTGACATACTAATGGTAAATGGACTTGAGCTTTTATAGCGCTTTTCTTGTCTTCTGACTACTCAGAGCACTTTTACACCTACACATTCACACACTGATGGTAGAGGCTGCTGTGTAAAGAGTCCATCAGTATTAACTCATCCATTCACACACATTCACACACTGATGGTAGAGGCTGCTGAGTAAAGAGTCCATCAGAAGTGACTAATCCATTCATACACATTTGTACACTGCAGAAGAAGCAGCAACTTGGGGTTAAGTGTCTTGCCCAAGGACACATCAGACATGTTGCTGCAGGAGCTGGGGACTGAACCCTCGACCTTCCAGCTGGAAGACGACCGACTCTACCACAGAGCCACAGCCGCCCCCTTATTGATGGAATGAGTTCTTTGGAAAACTGCCATTATTCTGAATTTACCAATTGAACATTTTGTATTTCCGTTCCCACTAAATGATTTTAACCCGGCCTTTATCTACTCGACTGTTAAGTCATGCAAACTGTTCAAGCTTTGAGCTGATAGCCTGCAGAAAACACATCGCAAGGCCAAAGATGATTCACTACAGGGAAATTAAACTCATCTGTTAACACTTCTTCTTTCGTTCTGCCAGTAAAAGCTCCCCCAAAGGTCACAACAAAAATGATGTTTTTTCATGTACAGCACTAAGCAGTGAGTGCTTTGGTCAGAGAAACTCCTTCATCAATAAAACTGTCGACACTAATCTCCCTCTCTGACCCTCATTTAGGATTATTATTATTATTGACATTTTTCTTCCTAACAGACTGCAAGAAATCCTCACTCTGATTTTTAACTCCGCTCTGCACCAATCAGAGCAGAAAATTGAATCTGAATAAAATGTAAATGAATAACTTTGCCAGTATCTGTCACAGCAGCATGCAGGAATGTGCTCCAGTCGATTGAAATAGAAAGGAATCAGGAAATTAAAAAGGAAGAAAAACATGTTTGTTCCCGTCTTTCCTGCCTATGATGTTAGCGTTGAGCTGTCAGTGAGGGGGTTTAAGAAGGAAGAGGATAAAGGCAACTCTAAGCTTATTAAAACACGAAGGTATTGAATAGCCAGATTATAAGAAATCCCTCCCTAATTTCACGAGCAAAGCAGAAACAGTGCCGTCAGTGCAGACCAGATATGCGGCAAACTGGTTTTAAGCTTCTATCATCATTTAGCAGGCCACTTTTCCATTTGCATTATCTTCTTCACACCAGTTAGAGGGGAGAGGAACATTCTCAAGGCATCTTTTTTTCACCCTCTTAACTCAGTTTTGTCTCTCTCGTTCCCTTTCTTACCCTCCGTCTCCTCTACGTCTCGACATCTGGATCAGAAGGTTTCCGGCAGCGAGCAGCAGTCGGTGCTTTACTTTGGCTCTGTGTGTGACTGCAGGCAGAGATGAGAGCGGCCGCGGCGACACGGACCAATAATTGCTGCAAACTTCTTTCACTTTCTTTGGTAAAGTCGCAGTGAGAGACAGGAGAGTTGCAGCTTGGGCGCCCACAGTTTCTGTCAATCATGGCTACTGGTGTGACCATTAAATAAAAAGTCTGTTTGCACTGTGGAAACTCTCTTTACTTTTTAATGTTACATGAACCTTCATTTCTTACAAGACAATGCTGAATATACATAAAGGTTCTTAAAGGAAGGGTTGGTAATTTTCAGAAAACTAGCATGATTTTGAAAGTAGCATTCCATCAGTGCGCCGTCTACACCCACCCCCTCCCCTCTGTGCTCCCTCTAAAGCCACGCCCCCTCACTTACATGCACGAGCGCTGTTGTACCAAAAGATGACCTCAGCTCATTTCTTGCATTGTGTAGAAAAACTACGTCGTCTTATTCAGCGGTAAGTAAACTCACAGTATAAACTCCGTCATCAGTGACACGCTTTGAGTGTGGCAAGCAAAGGGGTAGAGAGCGAGCAGGGAGACAGGGAGGCGTGTGATTGG